GTAGTCAGAGGAAATGTAAGGGGTAGAAATACAGCTCACCTCAGCATCTCCCCACCGGGCTGCAGGCTGGAAGGAGTCCATTTGTGTTGGTAACCCGTAAGTCCGACTTCACACTCCTCTCCCAATCCGATTTTGAATATTCTGTACATTCTCTGAACTGAGCATATTTACTGGGTTCTGTATGGCTACGAGGACCAGACTAAAAAAGGCCTTCAGACAGGTGCCTCCCATGACCTCCTCGGCTGTTCAGTTGTTCAATCAACAATTCTTCGGAGCCAGGTAAGGAAGGACTTTCTTGGCTCTGAGTAGAGGAATTTTTCCCAACAAGTTTAGGAAACCCACTTTGTAAGGAGAATTGTTTCCTAACAACAAGGCCAGCCAGAACCTTTCCTGAGCTGTATTTGTATTAGTTTAATGTGCTGTTTTGGAGTAGGTTCTAGCTGGATTCCTTATGCCAAGTATCACGGAGAAAAGATCCAGAGAGAGATGGACCTCAAAGCAGCTGAACATCTCCTATATCACAATAGTCAGGAAGGCTCGATTTATTTTAATACTTGGAAAACTTTATAAGATTCCTGAAAGCCTTGTCTCTCTACCGCTCTTTGCTATTTTTATCACCATCTGTATGTTTTCCTATAATGATTAGCCAGAAAGCTCTTAAAATGGAAAGGACGGATGTGCATATTTTCAGTGGCAATAGAAGAAAAAAAAAAAGCAGCAGAGTGACAATTACTGCCAGGTCAGTGGGAAACAGGAGGGGAGAGTGGGTCATGGAAACCTGCAATCTGCATCTCAGGAGTCTGTGAAAATTGAAGAAAATGGGCTGCTGGAGATAGAGGTAGAGTCAATCATAGAAATTAACCTAGGTTTTACTAAACAAAAGATCCATGCACAGATTTCTTGAACTTAGCTAGACTGAAATGAATGCTTGGAGCAGTCAAGCGTTTAAAAAAAAAATACTAATTTAAAAATAAAGCTAACAGTCCTTCTTAGTAATTATCCTGACATTACAAATATACTCATTTAGATAAGATTTATAGAATGGATTAATTTGGAGATTAATTTATAAATCTTAAATATTAGAAAGTAGGATTTGTGTTGTTTGGTGATGCTTTTTATTATGTAGTGATCGTTTTCTGAGATCATAGACTGCCAATATTTCATCTTAAGAGTGGCAATTTTAAAAGGAAAAACATTTTCCCCTCCCTGGGCTCAGAATTCACTAAAACTTGTGGGTTGAACATTTTACCCAAATATAGACCCTTTAGTGATTAATCTAATTTAATGTTTTCAAACTGTGACATCCTGTTTATAAGAAAGAAGACTTATAAAAACTCAGCTTGAGCATGAAATAACTCTTCTAAAGTCAACGTTTTGGTGAACTTATGTGTTAAATGAGTCACAGATATTTGGATGAAGATTTTTTTGGTTTTGAAAGAGAAAGTACTCGGAAAAAAAATGTCATTTTGGTTTCAATGAAATGGAAACATTTGAAGAAATGGAATTCGCTGGTGAGCCTATCGAATAACAGGTTTCCACACACTTAAGTCAGTTCTGTGGATTTGTAGGGCTGCATTGCCCTTGAGCCAAGTCTTACCCAGCACGAGTTGCTTTTAGCATCCGTAATTCTTCCCAGAAATGATTTTCTAATGTTATGCAAAATAAAATTTTCACAATAGTTCGAGGGTAATTTATTCACTTTGTAAACTGTTCTCTTAAAGTTATTTGTTCTAAAAGAAAGTTGAGCTCATGTCTGCTCATATTATTTACCTGATAGAAAAATGCCTTCTTTTTACTCAGACCCTTTATTGTTTGAAAATGTCACTGTGAGCAACTCAGAGTCAAATTCAGAGCAATGTTATACTGGATATTTTATAGATTATTTTAAATACATACTGGCCGTTGATTAGCTGTTCTTCTGAATGTAGGGACTGAACGTTTGTGAATTGAGGAAATCTGTGACCCCTGCTAAGCGTCCCACTCTATGCCGTCAGTCCTAAAATCCCATCTCCCACTAAGGGTCCTGCGGGGTATCGCCTCAAGCACTTGAAACCTAACAAGTCTCCACTTAAATCAGTTTTCTCTTTTTTCAGTCACAGTTCCTTTCCCTAATCATTACTGCATCGTCTCCCAGATGAGGTTCTTTGGTCCGCAGAGAGCTCTTCTCACTTACCACACTAACTAATGGTCATCAGTCCCCCAGGGCTCTGCCTCTGAAAGCTCTTCTTGCCTTCCCTATCCTAAGTCAGGCTCAGTCATTTCTCAGCTAGGTCAGAACAAAAGCTTCTCATGGGGCCTCCGTGTGAATTCTTCTTTCTCTGCCACTAGATCTCCCTGTGCATATCACCAAGCATGAATATAGGACTTTCTCCCTGTAAATCTTTACTTATTCTCTGTTGAGTTAGGATCAAGTCTTTACAATGTGTCACAGCCTCCTTTTTTAGAGTCCTCTCTTCTGTGTGCTCTTTGGCTCTGTCCATATTTATCCACTGCCCAAAGTCCTTTGAATATCCCAGATTCCACACTGAGCTAGTCCATGTTCTGATCCTCATTACTGAAGACTCACTTTCCCCCTTCCAGGTGTATAAATCATTTCTTTTTTTGTCCTTCATAGAACTTTGTCATTTTCTTTTGCTATCACTTAATAAATCCCATTTTGGTTAATTACCTGTGTGAGGCTTTCTTAAGCTAAATTATGAATTCCTCAAGAGGACTTGATTCCTTATTTGTGAAAATAGTTGTTTCAATGTTCATGGCTTTAAAAAGACCCCATTACTATATTTTGAATTAAAAAAAAAAGGGTTGAAATGTGTCCAGATTCTCATAGGTGCACTTGTTGTCCCAAGAGGATAGAAAAGTACTCAAAGGTTAGGTAAAGAAAGAGAACTCCTTTGACAATTCTTTTCTCGCTAACTAGGGATTTAAGTTTATGACAAGCATGGGAATTCTGTGAAAAGTCAGAGGATAATAAGTATCACCTGCAAAGTACTACTTATTCACATTAGACCCATCAAGACATGTCTCTGGCATTTATCAATCCACTGTATTGATGACCTTACAATAAGAGCCATCATTAGGGGTGACCACTTGCCGTTTCTCTTGTCTTCAAGGCAGTTGTTTATCATGTATTTTTTGGCAATAAGACATCTGCATACCAAAAAGAAGTGATTGCTACCTTTTCCTTGTTTCAATTAGAGGTGGTAAAAGACTAAATTAAAATAAAATATGAAGCAGGGAAAAATTGTTGTAACTTGGAAATGCAGTGAGAAGTTTCATTAAGAACTTAACATTTGGCTTGGCGCCTGTGGCTCAAGTGGCTAAGGCGCCAGCCGCATACACCTAAGGTGGCGGGTTCGATTCCAGCCCGGGCCCGCCAAACAACAATGATGGCTGCAACCAAAAAATAGCCGGGCATTGTGGCAGCTACCTGTGGTCTCAGCTGCTTGGGAGGCGGAGGCAGGAGACTTGCTTGAGCCCAGGAGTTGGAGGTTGCTGTGAGCTATGATGTCATAGCACTCTACCCAGGGGGACAGCTTGAGGCTCTGTCTCAAAAAAATAGAACTTAACATCTTGGGCAGCACCTGTGGCTCAAAGGAGTAGGGCGCTGGCCCCATATACCAGAGGTGGTGGGTTCAAACCCACCCCCAGCCAAAAACTGCAAAAAAAAAAAAAGGACTTAACATCTTTTCTTGAAAGACAGGTAAGTATTACAAGAGAAAATCAATGAGAAACTCAATAGGAAGAAACTAACACAGGTCAATTGTAAGAATATGAGCTTTATACTTTGCAAGGCAAAATTAAGTTAATAAGTAATTTTAGCAAATATTTAGACCATTTACTCCTAGGGTTATGTAGTTATTTTGTTCTGCTTTGCTTTTCTCTCCCAGGTGGCTCAGACATTGAGTACCTGGACTTCTATAAGCCTGTCGTGTGGTTTTGGATCCTCGTTGGGCTTGCTTACTTTGCTGCTGTCCTGAGCATGATTGGAGATTGGCTCCGAGTAATATCTAAAAAGACAAAGGAAGAGGTAAGAATTAACAGGGGTACAAAACACTTCTATTTAGTTAATTCAATAAAGGTTACTTTTAATTTTTTATGTTTATTAAATATTAAAGCATTATCTAAATTTTTAATATTTGTGTTTGGCATAAATTTCCTGTAAGAGGCAATAGGAAAATATATGAGTTATGTACTTAAAAGGATTTACTAATGCTTTTTATGGGCCAGGTGCTACTGAGGGTACTTTGTAATGAAAAAAGTTGTAACTAAAAGTATTTACTTGATTATTTCATCTTTTGTTTTCTTTCTTACCGTCCCCCCCCAAGAACAATGAATGTTATTCCATAAAGAAAAATATAATAGAAAATATCTTTATCAAGTTGTAGCAACGTGAAATAGTGAATGTCTTCCATAATTTTGTTTTGTTTTGTCTTTTTGCAATTTATTTTTTATTTTTATTTTTGGCTGGGGCTGGGTTTGAACCCGTCCCCTCCAGCATATGGGGCTGGCGCCTTACTCCTTTGAGCTACAGGTGCTGCCC